ATAAACTCAAACTCCTCATCAATGCCTTTTGAGATATCAAGTGTGATGACGTTAAGAGTAGCTGCTCTAGTAAACAATGGTAGCAGCTCTTGGTATGCTGGTTGACCACCAGAATCAACAATGTACACCCACTTCTCACTTAACTGAGCTCCTGCTTTAGAAATACGATCAACAATGTTCTTTAAAACATTTTCAAAGTCCCTCTTATCCTCCAGTGTTTCTTCTTGCTTACTTTCTTTGACACTTTCTGATTCTTCTGGATCAGAGGATGAATGCTTTGAATCAAGTTCTGAATCAAATTGCTCTTCATTCCGAGAATTTGTATGGTCTTCATGTCTTTCTTTTAATTGTTCCTTTTTAAAGGCATCCTCTGATTCATTCAAATGTGACTGAATTTGCTGAGCAGCATTATTTTCTAAAGCTTTATTTAAACTGTATGCTAATTGCTCCAACAATTCCTCTGTAGTAATTCTCTTCCATGTCTCTTTGCACTTAGAAGCTATTCTTAGAGCTTTGACAGCTTTACAAGCTATTGGTGTACTATCAGTGGTAGGTTTGGAGACTAGAGTGAGGCCAGAATCAGCAGAAGGTGAGCTAGTGGCAGATGGGTCATTGGTTTGTGGATCAGATGCAGATTTTAAAGGTGGAGGGTCTTCATTGAGTAGAAGACATTGTGCACAAGTTTTACCAGATAATCATGAGTACACGAGTAAGTGTCAGCTTCATAATACCTTCTTTACACCATTTCTCTAGAGTACCTATTGCAATAGTCTACAATGATTCACAGCCATCTTATTAATGTTTCCATATGCTATACAATTTATGATTACATGTAAAGGAATCCTTTATATACACAGAACAAAATAGAAATTTAGTAACATTTAACACAAGCCTATAAACAGCAAGAAATTTTTTATCCATGCATGTTGCTTGATAGTCTCACATAGCCTGACTAGACTCTACCCTCTTTGTGCCTGAAGGGTGTGGTCTGGCTACGCAACACTAGTTGCTTGATATACATGCAATTGAGAGTATCATGCTTTATACATGTAGTTACTAATTACTCTAAATATTCTCTAACCTGATTTTTTTAGATCTTCAACATGAACGATTTTGTCTTCTACAAAAATAAATAGCAGACTAAAGCAAAAATGTATCCATTAAAAAATCTTAATAATTTTTTTATTCTGTACGTGCCAAGCTACGTGCATGCATGATAGTTCTAACAAAAATTAATATCAAAGTAGCTTAGTTTGCAAAGCTTATACACATAGTTAACTACTTATACATAGTTCATCATCCTTACCATAATTAGCTTACCTTGTTGATCATTCAAGCACTGTAGTACAAACCTTGCACATGAGACAGCTCCAAACGGTTGCCACGTATTGTCTTTTTCTCCTGTTCCCCAGTCAACAATAGCTTTTATTACAATCCATTCAAATCCTCCTACTCTTTCTGCAGCCTTATAAATACCTTTTGCTTCCATTTCTCCTCCAAGTGCTCCTTGGACATATTTTAGTTTCTCTTCCTTTGCTTCTTTGCTACGAAACAGTGTGAATTCAGAGGCCAGAGAACCTTGATGATGAACTTTAACTGTTTTACCTTGAAATTCAAAGACTTCGTGGTGTTTGAACAAATTAAAAAGTTTCTTTCCACATGGGTACGTGTTAGTTAAAACGATTGTGTCCTTTCCTTCAATACACTGATGTGCAGTGTCAACAATACTTTTGGCAACAATAATGTCACCTAAGTTTGTTTTATCATCAAGTTCCTTTTCTTTGCTCTCCTTTGTTCCATAGCACATCCCAATAGCAATGACATACTTAGCTTTTGCGTCATTTTGTACTGAAACAAGAACTCTTTCGGTTTTATCAGGGCCCTGGCCTGTCATAGTTATTGCAACATTGCATGACTCATATTTCCCCAGGATAAAATTTGCCACTTTATCTGTTGTGACAACTCTAATATAATTCCCATCACTGCCAGGAGGATCAATTGAACCCATCACTGCACGGTATTCTATAGGTGTGGCAGTCACCAGAATGTAACGGACTTTTGATATAAACTCTTTCTCTTCTACAGTCAGATCTTTGAATTTTTTCTTCTTAATTTTTTGTTCAATGTCTTCCAGTTTTGGGCAATATTTACTGACATCTGGAGGTGGGTCTGACTCTATAATAATATATGACACTATGAAATTATCAAAAATATTCTAACATACTTTGGTCATCACTGATAGTCTTGTCCTCACCAGCTGCTGCACTATCAACTGGTTCTCTGTAAACACAACAACAGATTCATCAATTGGAGTCAGTAAAGGGTACTTACTTTGAATCAATCTCCTCACTTTCTTGTTTTGTTCCAGTCCCATGGCTCTCTGCCAAACCTACTTTTAAAATCAATAATTATTAATAATACTGAGCTATGATTGATTCTTACCTATATATTCCAGAAGGTTAGATTTTGCTTTGCCCAGTTGATCAGGAAAGTTATCACATAGTTTTATTAATGCATCCCAATTGACATCTCTATCAGCATCAAACCACCTCTGGAATACCAAATGAAGTTTGATATTTGCTGTGCCTTGCATGTCTATCAGATCAGCTGTATTCACATTCAATCCAGCCCCTATTAGGCTGTAATGGGGAGCAGAAGAATGAAATATCTTCATGACAGCTGCCATATTAAGCTCTTTGCCTATTATAATAGATAATGTATAACAAGCAATTACTACCTTTACCAAGTGTACCTGTTGTAGGACCTTGTGTATTACCCACAGCAGCTCCATTACTAGCATTAGACACTGAAGGATGTCCTTCAATCATTTCTTTG